GCGGCGCTCCGCGGCGCTGGCGCGCCTCGTGTCCGCGGACGCGCCGGCGGCCGCGCGCGCGTTCCGCGCCTGGCGCCGCCGCGTCGCCGACGACCGGCGGCGCGCGCGCCTGCGGAGCGCCGCGCGGCGCCTCGCCGCGCTCACGGACCGGCGGGACGCGCTCCGCGCGCTCCGCGGACTCTTCCGCCTCCGCGCGGCGGCGGCGGCGGGCCCCGCGGCGCGGCCGGCGGCGGCGCGGTCGCCGGCGGCGCGGCGCGTCGTCCTCAAGCTCGCCTTCCGCGAGGCAGGCGCGTTCTTCGCCTGGCGCGCGGCGGCCGCGGCGCGGCCCCGCGGGCCCCGGCCGCCGACGGCGTCCGCGAGGATGATGGAGCGGTCGCTCAAGGTCGCCGCGCGCCAGGCGGACCAGTTCTGCAAGCGCGAGGCGCTCGCGGTGTGGCGGGAACTCGTGCGGGCGCACGAGCGCCGGGGGCTCGCGCTGCGGCTCCTCGGCGGCGCGCTCGAGCGGGCGGCGGCGGCGCGGGCCCTCCGCCGCGCGGCGCTGCGCCGCTGGCGGGGCTCCGGAGCCCCGACCGGCCCCGTCGACGTCTCCGCGGCGTCGCGACAGGAGGCGTCCCCCGGCGGCCTCGTCGACGTCTCCGCGGCGTCGCGACAGGAGGCGTCGCCCGGCGGCCTCGTCGACCTCTCCGCGGCGTCGCGACAGGAGGCGTCGCCCGGCGGCCTCGTCGACGTCTCCGCGGCGTCGCGCGAGATCGCGGGGGCGCCCAAGGTCGCGCCGCGGCGGGCGTCGCTCGCGGCGACGCTCTTCGCGACCTTTGCGCCCGCGGCGCCCCCGACGAGCCCGACGACCGACGGCGAGGGAGGCTTCGCGCCGACGAGCCCGACGACCGACGGCGAGGGAGGTTTCGACTCCGAGGACCCCGAGTCGTCGTCGGAATCGGACGCGGGGTCCGACGCGGCGCCGGACGGGATCGTGAGGGTGGCGATGGCCGACGGCGGCTGCGGCTACCTCATCACGGCGCTGCCGCCGCGCGGGCGCCTCTTCCGCGACCCCGCGTGCACTGGCGAGATCTTCGTCGAGGGCTTCGCGGGCCAGATCATCTACTTCAGGCTCGACGACCCCGGCGACGACGACGGGTCGCCGTGCGCCTTCACCTACAAGATGATGAGCGAGGACGGCGAGTTCTCCGAGGACCTCGTCGCCGAGATCCGCGCGCCGCCGCTGTAAGCTGTGGCTTGACCTTCGACACGCATGGGCGATGGCGAATTCTCCGAGGACCCCGCCGCCGAGGTGCCGCCGCCGAGGTGCTCTACTTGAACCACAAGTTCAGTGCTACTACTTGAACCACAAGTTCAATCAACATTCGATTTTTCTCCGTGGACGGCCGCCATGGGCTGCAACCCTGGACGTTTCGAGGCGCGCCGCCTGCTCCCGCTGGCGCTGCTGGTCGCGAGCTGCGGCGCGGACCTGACGAAGATCGCTGGCTGCGCCTGGGAGGAGACCAGCACCCAGGAGTGCGACTCCAATTGCCTCGACATGGGGACCGGGAGCGGCTCCCGGGAGGCCTGCCGCGAGGGCCTCTACGAGAACGACGGTGTGCCGGACTGCGGCGGCAGGAGCATGTACTACAACTCGAACGACGACTCCTGCTACGTTTGCGACGGCGACGGCACGAGCGGCACGCTTTTCACGCGGCACACGATCGACTACTGCTCCGAGATCACCGCGTGCGCCGACGGCTGGCAGCCGAGCGCGGACGGGCAGGACTGCGATCCCGTGCCGACGCCGCGGCCGACGCTGCAGCCCGTCGCGCCGCCGACGGCCGCGCCCGTCGCGACGGCGACGTCCGCGCCGACGCCCGGAGCCCAGGCCGCGCCGACGTCCGTCGCGCCGACGCAGGGACGCACGACGCTCGCGCCCACAGGAGCCCAGGCCGCGCCGACGTCCGTCGCGCCGACGCAGGGACGCACGACGCTCGCGCCCACAGGAGCCCAGGCCGCGCCGACGTCCGTCGCGCCGACGCAGGGACGCACGACGCTCGCGCCGACGATCGGACTGGCCGCCGGACAGGCCGCGCCGACGGCCGCTGCGAACGCGTCCTTCGTCGCCGCCGCGGGCGCGTCCTGCGCGGCGCTCGTCGCGCGGGAGCTCCGGTGCGACTCGGAGCGCGCGAGCGAGGGCACGTCGCACGCGTCCGCGGACGCGTGCGCCGCGGCCGCGGCCAACGACACGGCCTGCGCCGGGAGCTCCTACATCCAGTGGAGCGACGCGCGCAACGCGGCCTCGGGCTGCTCGTGCTGCGACGGCGACATCTACGACATCCTCGCGAGCGGGCGCAACGGCACGGGCTGGGAGGTCCACGAGATCACCTGCGCGGCGGAGACGCCCGCGCCCGGCGCCGCGGGCGGCGACGAGCTCCCGAACGTCGCCGCG